CTCTCTCTCTCTTAGGCGTAGCTGGAAGATAAGATGAAGGTCCAGCATCTGTGCTGTGACCACGCTGAGGAGATAAATGGAGATGCTGATTGGCACACGGGGGGATGCTGGTAGAAACCATTCCTGACAGGAACTGAGCTGCTCTGCTGCAGAAAACACACGAGTCTGTTCATTTAGATGTTGTTCTGCAGCGATGTGCACTGAATGATTCCTACTGTAGGTTGATAAAACATGAGGAGGGCTGTTGCCGGTTTTAACGCCAGCAGCTGAAAATACACTCATATTGTCCACATGCTGAAATACAGTAACGGCTAAAAGGTACAGTACGAGCGACGCACAAATCTGGGAGCCTATTGTTAGTGGCGCCTGTTTAAGAGGAAGAATGCAGCACCGTGATAAGGCAGCCAGCTGAAAATATGACATTAGCATCAGAATACTGAGGTTATGTTTATCTGCTGGCCGGGTCAGATGAGGTGTCTGCTGCACATCAGAAACATGAGAAACAGGATGAAGGCCTCTTTAAACACCAGCTAACACACTCATGGTGAAGCTCCTCAGTGGAAATGTTCCTTCATAGTTGTCAGATTGAACATATTCTTTATGCCTGTTATCATGTTTGTGTTTGATAATTTTCCGCCCTGCTCTCCCTCCCAACCGATGGTCTCTGTTCAGGAGCTGTTGAAACCACACAGCCTGTGGCCAGAACCCCCGACCGGGCCCCGTCCTAATCACAGCTGCCTGAGCAGAGTATTAATACTCAGACCTGTGAGCTGCAGCACCACTACTCCTATCACCTCTATTTTCAGTTTAGCTACAAGAAAATGTTTGTTTCCTTCACGCCGCGCCACAAAATGTCTAAAAGGGACTTAGATCAGCTAAACACATAAATCCTGTTTTAAGGCTAAAGACAGTTTGTTTAATGATCAGAGTCGGTGTTGATCCAGTTCACATCAGCTCAGCTCAGTTAGCCAGAAAACGTGTTTGTTATCATTTCAGAACATAAAAAGTGCTTCATTTAAATTAAAGTCGTAGCAACACGCAGCACAAACACTGTGTGACAAGTGAAAGGCTGCATTCAAAGTGTTCGTATTAAACTATAAGTAAAAGTGCTGGTGATGCACAGCAGCCTGTACTGATCTGATGTTAACTTGCAGTCAGGTGTGCACCACCTGAACAGAGCAGCCTGCAGAGCCCAGGCTGGCAGGCATTTACTCTTCTACATACATGTACGACTGTTTTCCACTTAAAGACAGTCCTGCACACCTCTCATTGGATCTGATTGAACACTTGTACTCGTTTGATTCAAACATTTGAATCCTTTATTGTAAAACCCAGCCAGACAAGCAGCAGCAGCGCTTTGGACCTGGTTTACGAGACGCTGTTTCAGATGAACATGAAACAGAATTTAAATAAAAACCTGATGCTTCATGAGGACTGCTGCTGATTTTCACCAGAATTAAATGAAATCAGGGTGTTGTTGGGGTCTGACTGGCCTTTGTGTGTGTTTCTCAGCTCATAAACCTTTAAACACTTAGAAGATCAACCACGTCGCTGTCTGAAGCACTTCTTCTGAAAAATGGAACAAATCTTCCACAGCAGCTTAAAACAACAGCATTATTTCACCCAGTGTGGCCAAAGAAAGGTCCTGAAGGGCTGCTCACTGACTGACCTGCTGAAACTCAGACTGCATGTGAGTCACGTGACGCTCGGTTCTGCTGTAATGAGCCCGTCCTCACCAGGCCTCACTGGCTCTGACTCAGGATCGCTTTGGTTTGTTTCTGGAGGTTGTTGCTGTGACGCCTTTTGCTGTGAAGTTTGGTTCTTATGCACCAATCCACACCGGCGCCGCTGTGTTTGTTTTCCTTGTGGCCTGAGAGATGAAGAAGGCGCACAGCAGCAGTGACATCCACTAAATGAGGAACTGGGAACTCGTCTTTCAGATTCAGTTCCTTGAAGGCTGCCTTTAAATGAATCCATGTGTGTGTCAGACGGTCGGGATGGTCCGGGCCTCCATCAGAGCCGGCCGTGTGCGTTTCTTTGGTTTGTGTGGCCCAGTGCTCTCTAAGTGTCACTAGCAGGTTCTGTCCTGTTGACATGAGAAGACACTGAATCTGTAAAGGCTCCTGGTGCAGCGCTGAAACCACACAGCGGACCGTTCGGGTTCGGGTTCGGGTTCGGGTTCGGGTCTGTCCTACTGGCCCTTACAGGAAGATATTCAGACACTGTTCAACAATGCAAACATGCATGTGGCTCCTCGAGCAGCACTGAGCACATCATGGACATGATTGTGTAACACAGAGACGACAGTGATCAGATGGTGGCAGATTACACGCTCGGCTTTATTACACCTAAATCATTCCCACACAGCTCAGCAGTTTGTTACTGACATGCAGATCAGCCACAGCCTGTTTCTCTCTCTTATGAACAAATAGCTCATTCAGGTCAGTCAGCGTCCAGGTAAGGCCGTCACTCTTCTTCGTTCACATCCTGCAGCAGATTGCAACACCATGAAAACAGCATCAAACCACCACCCTGACCGACCGCATGTCAGCCGCTGTTGTCCTGCAGAGTCTCAGTCTGTCATGTGGATGTGACTTCTGACTCTGACTCATCATGTCAATGCACACCGGCCACGCTCACGCTCAGCTTAAGGACGCAGGCAGAGGTTTCACTACATGCTGTATGTAAGTAGTCAGGTTGCATTATTTCACTGGACCACTGGCAGATGTGCAGACGCCTTCATCAGCACGACTCCAATAATATCAGCAGATATGTCAGAGGACACCAGGACATGAACAGAACCAGAGCCAACACACACAATGTCCAGTTTCAGTTTAGTCTGTGTCACAGGTGCTGATTCATTTCAGACACCCAGAAGCTCCACCACAGACCAGATGTGGACTTTAACTGAGTTCATTTACTCATGTTGGAGGTTCTTTGTTTGGCAACTGACACGAGATGCCGTGTAGAAGCCGATAACGAGAAAACAGCCGATAGTGGAATAAATGTTTAAAACGTAATAGGCCAAAAACGAAAGTCCTGAACCCAAAACGTAATGAATTGGGATGTTATTGGCCTGAAAAAAATAAAATAAAATCTTTGCAAATGTAGTAAACAGCCAAAAGTCATGACATTCAGGACTTTACTACGTTATCGGCTTCGACACGCTGCTTCCTAAGGAGCTTGTCAGGTGTGATGTCCTGTCACAGATGGAGCTGATGGATCACTGATCAGAGCTACTCATTGATCTGCACTGGTCGCCTCTGATGAATCACGTTTTGCTAATAACACTTACAGACTAAAGCTGAGCCACATGTTGGCCAAACACGGGGGAACATTTTGTCTGTCGGACTCTGACGGGGAACGTCACGTCCACAACGCAGAGATTTAACTCATGAAGCCCATACAGAGGACAGAGAGCCTGATGTTCTTCTACGTACACTCTGAACCATGAGACACTGCGTTTAGGATGATTTATAATCTGTCACATGTGACTCAGAGACCTGCTGCCATTTAAAACAGCAGCTACATGGTCTGTTTGTGTTCAGGGGTTAAAGAAAGACTTTAAAACTTTTGCTGAACAGCAGCAACTGCTGTTCAGACATAATGCAGCACAAGCAGAGGGAAATCAGAAAATCAGCAAACTGCAGCCGTGATGTCGGTTCAGCAGGTCAGAGGTCAAACGCTCCCACATTAGCTGACTTCAGCAAAATCCCTGTTTGAATGAGCGACACTGAGTTTTACTGCTTCGTAATTCAGTTTTTAATCCGTAGGCTGCTTCTCTTGTTTTAATAAAGAGTTTTCTGAAGCTGAGTTCAGACCAAAGTGTGACTGTGGGCTTCTGGACTGTTTCTGACAGACGAGATCTAACATGCAGCTCCTTTGTTCAAGGCTCTAGGAGGAGGATTTAGGTTCTTTGGAGGAGCCAGGCTCGACGTTCCCTCCTGTCTGGCTGCCAGTTCACTTGGCAACAAAGCAAATCCACACATTTACCAAAATGTAAAAAAGTCCCAAATGTCCACACATCTTCTGTCACTGAGCGCGGTCAGAACACAGCGAGCCGACCAGCTGTGGATCGCTCCTGCAGCCGACGCGTTGACTTGCCAAAGCGCTGACGTGCAGCTGTAGGGAAACATTCACACGGCTCAGGTCCATTTAGCGCTGAGCCACATGCACGCTAGCAGGACCTCCTCTGGGGGAATGCAGCCACCTGCGCTTTGAGAAACCAACATGTCTGCCACCGATACGGCCTGTTGGCTGATCCTGGACAGGTTATTGTGTCTGCCTGCTTGAACTGAACAGTCTGAACAACAGGTCTAATGTGACGAGCAGGTTTATCTGTCTGAGTGTATGTGACAGTGTGAGATGATAAACTCAGAGCTCAGAACAAGAACTGCCTTTTAGTTTGGGCGTAGCTGAGCACTTGACAGTTTTCACTCTGAATGCATTCACAAGATGCGTATCAGTGGCAGCTGAAGCCACAAACACACTCTGCTGGCACCTCTGAGTTCACGGCTACAGTTTGCTCTCTCCAGTATTCGGGCCCTAACATGTGGAGGTGTCGCTGCTCTCATCACTGCACTTATTTTAAGGTGGTACTGATGTTCTGAAGGAAGCTCAGCCTGCTGGTTGTCACAGCGGACTTACACAACACTGCAGAGCACAGCATACGTGACAAATCAGCAAGTTTTAGCAAAGCAGACTGAAGCCACTGATCTGAGTGCTTCTGGAGCTGTTTGAGCTGCTTTCTGCTGATGTTGAGGTTTTTTCAGACGTGCAGAGTCTCTCTTGAATTCAGTCACAGAAAACATTCAGAGCGCAGGGTCACGAGATCGTGCCCACACAGCCTCGCAGAGGGGAATGACACGCATGACCACTGACTGTGGAAAACAGGATACAGGGTACGTCGCAACAGGAAGTGTTGCACTCCTCCTCTGCAGAACATCAGTTTGACCAGAATGACTGCAGGTTGATGTCCACACTCTGTAACTCCTGCGGCAGCATTCACATTTCGTAATCGTCTTCGCTCACCATTTCTTCTGAGCCAGTTGAGTAACTCGGGTGAAAAAAAACAGAAAAGTTTTAATCCAACAGAAAAGTGTCTCAGGCAGACGGCACAGTTCTGAACGTGGACGTAAATAATTAACTTAGTGTGGTTAAAAAGCAATGAGTCATCAGAAACTTTATATGAAAAAACTAAAAACTAACTCAACACTTGGCATCTGAAAGTAGCTTCAACAAACTTCTTGTTAATTCGGGCAATTTAAATGAACACAACAGGATTACATTCAAGAAAAGAAATAAAGATTTAGATGTTGACAACGTTCTGCCTGCTTTTAAATGTGTTTTTCAGGTGAAGCTGCCATCAGCAGAACTCATTTAAATCTTGTATGAAATCCTTAAAAAACACACTGAAACACAAGCAAGCAGCAAACAGCTGTAGAAGAAGTGAGTTAGAGGCAAATGCAGCCGGTTTCATCGTGACTTTAACGCCTGACAAACAGCGAGCGCTAAAGTCGCACTAAAAGCCGTTCTCATGTGAATAAGGAAACGCCCACAGTCTGTGTGAGAGAACAGATCTGCTCTTACCGTCACGCTCCGGCCAACATCCAGCCAAGGTGTCCACCAGGGAGCTGCTCAACTACTGAACAGCAAATTGCCAAAGGTGGTTGAAAAATGCAGGCTTTCTATATATCTCTGAATTAGCAGGGGAACTAAAAACTTCCTTAATTCTACCAATTTAGGTTGGTACCATAAGGCTTCTTCTTCTTCTCCTTCTTCTTCTTCTTGTTCCTTATTAAAACAAGAAGGTGACAAACTCTTCCTACAGAACGAGCTGTGAGCGGCGGATCGCTTTGACCCGGTTGCTGCTGCCAGACCTACGAGCTGAACCGGTTCCTATTATTACTGACCAGTAATCAACAGACGGGAACTCGTCTTCAGCTTTCAGGCTTCGTTTTCAAGCTCTTGCATGTTTCTAAGAATTCTGAATGTGAATCTCCTGCAGCTAAATTAAAGCTGTTTCAGCCTCATCATTAGGAAGCATCCAGCATGCAGCTACAGACTCAGTATTACATGTATTTATGAGAAACACGGCCTCATTCATCACGTCTCTGATAATCAAAGCAGCAGCGGCGGCACACAGAATGAAGAACAAACATTCAATCAGCTCAGTCATGTTCATTTGTTCTCATGACTGAGGAGAAACCACAGAGCATCTGCTGCCTGCTTGTTCCTGCAGCAGGTGAACTGTGTCACATCAGTTCAAATAAAAGAGTTTTCAGGCCACTCTGTCCCTCACAGCCATACAAACACATTCAGTAGCTTCTACGTCACTAACTAAACGTGGCCCTCGTCGGTTTTGTCTGTTAATTAAACTGGAAAAGTTCAATTAGACGACTTGTGTAATGATGTGATTTGATCTTTTATGCAGCAGTGAAAACAAAGCGTTTCAGCTCAGAACTGGCTGTAAACTCACTTTGGTTAGAAAGAAGAGAAAAGAACGTGTCAGATGATTTAGTGCTGATGGCAGCGTGAGCCTCAGTCTGCATGATCGGAGCCTCCAGGAGGGAACACCACCCTGACTCCAGCAGCTGGAAGAGCACCTCCACCTTTATGACCTGGGTCCACAAGCAGGGCCGTGTTCTGTTTCTTTAGTAACGTACGAACTTCCACTGAAATCTGAAGAAAACAGTGTGACAGAACATTTCACTTCTGCGGGTGGACGGTCCAGGAAGAGGTGCTGTGCTTCCTGGCTGACGGTCCCCAGAGGTTTCAGTGGCCATCGAGCGTTTCACAATGACATGGAGCGGTGGCTCGACATGCATGCGAGGGGACATCCAGCCCTCTCACTTCTTATTCCTGATTCCTCATTTTCTCTGGACTCCACGAGCTTCAGCTATCAGACCGGGCCGGGGCGGTATTATTAGACCAGGGGTGAATCACAAGGCACATGGACACACACACACACAC